TCAAGGCATCCTGGTAAAAAGGGCAAGTAGCTAAGCCCCTGTGAATGACTTAAAAGTTTGTATTGTGGTGAAATTGCCTGCCTTGGTGTTTTGCAGTTCGGGGTTGTCCTCGATTGAACATAAACAGCATTGAAAGGAAAGAATCGAATAATTTTGCTTTTGCGGCTATTCTCAGGGAGCTAAATGGTCACAAAGAAAGTAAGTTCATGAGCACCTCTTTACTATTTGCAAGAATCAAGCTGTCACCCACTCAATACCTGATGACAACAGTCAGGGATTATTTTAGTTAATTAAGGAAAAAGAAAGTATGAATAATTAAGTAGAGTACACCTCCGCTGAGGTGGAGTATGGAGGGCGGCACGCATGAGCGGAGATAGGGGGACTGAGGACGGATACTGACGGACGAAAACCGGGCCAACGAACGACTAACGACAGACGTTGCAGACTGATTTACACAGGACTACAAAAAAAAGCCGGTTGAAGGCATTTATTTTGCTGCTAGTTTATATACATACATTTATATTTTTGTTTTTTTTATAATGCGGCATAGCGGGCCAAGAGAAAGTAGGCAACCGCTCTACCGTCTACGAGCTAGGTCGTGTTACAGATTTTTTTCGATTTACGCCTTACGTATTTTGTAAAAAATGACATTTTAATTTTTTTGAACTTACGACGATGTTACCCATACCGATTTTGGCAAGCACCGAAAGTTTCATTTTTCCCAATTTAGGACGATATTCCCATCCGTCACATTTTTGGCAAAAACTAAAATTCCTTTTTTTCGACTTAGGACGATGTTATCCTTTACGGTTTTGGCAATATTAAATTTTTTTTTTTTTTTTAACTTAGGACAATGTTATTGGCAAAAAATAAAATTTAAATTTTTTGGATTTAGGAAAGTATTGTGCCTTCCGATGTTACCACTTACGTTTTTGGCAAAAAACCAAATTTTCATTTTTTCCAATTCATGACGATGCTACTACCCGTTACGTTTTTGGCAAAAAATGAAAATTTAATTTTTTTTCGATTTATCCCTTACATATTTGGTAGAAAATGAAATTTTCATTTCTTTAATTTAGGACGATATTACCTTTTCCATTTTTAACAAAGGAGCCAAATTTTATTTTTTTCGATAAAGGGCGATGTTACCTTCTCCGTTTTTGCAAAAAAAATGAAAATTTCATTTTTTCGATTTAAGAGGACGTTACACCTTACGTAGAATTTAACTTTTTTGGATTTACGACGATGTTACCCTTTCCTTTTTACAAAAAAATGAAATTTACTTTTTATTCGATTTAGGGTTATGTTACTATCCCTTAAGTTTTTGGAAAAAATCAAAATTTAATTTTTTTCCATTTAGAGCGACGTTACCCCTTACGTTTTTGGCAAAAAATGCAATTTAATTTTTTTTCGATTTATTATAATGGCACCTATTCCGGTTTTGACAAAAAGCGAAAGTTTCATTTTTTGCTATTTAGGACGTTATTACTTCTTACGGATTTAGAAAGAAAAACGAAATTTCACTTTTCCTATTTAGGACGAACGTTTTTGGCGAAAGTCTATTTTTTTTCGATTTAGGAGGACGTTACACCTTACGTAAAATTTACCTTTATTTGGATTTAAGACAATTTTACGCTTTCCGTATTTCGCAAAAATGAGAATTTCATTTTTTTGGATTTAGGGCGCTGGTAGCTTTTCCTTTTTTTGCCAAAAAAATGAAAATTTCATTTTTTCTCCATTTAGGACGATGTTACGCCTCTCGTTTCCGGGGTAGGGTTTTTTCGATTTACCCCTTTACGTATGTTACCCCTTACGTTTTCGGCAAAAAATTAAATATACGTTTTTATCGATTTAGGACGGTGTTACTACACCTCACGTTTTTGGAGGAAAAAAACTTCAATTTTTTTTGATTATTACGACGAAAACGTAAAGGCCGTTTTTGCAAAAAACCGCAGGTTTCGTTTTTTTCGATTTAGGACGATGTTACCGCTTACGTTTTTTGAAAAAAAGAAATTTCATTTTTCTGGTTTAGAACGGTGTTTTGGCGAAAAACGAAAATTCCATTTGTTTCGATTTAAGGGCGGTGTTATCCTTTACGTTTTTGGCAAAAAACAAAACATTTTTGCTTTTGAATTTGAGAGGTTTAAAAGCCCTTACGTTTACACATATTTTGGTGCGCCACGAGTTGAAATTTTTGTAGGGTAACCTTTGTTTTAAATTGCGACCCAAAATTCTATTTATTATTTTTCTCATGCATTCTTCAAAATTTTTTCTGGCTATCCGCATAGAAAAAGAGAGAAGACTTTTTTATGTTCATCAAAACAATATTTTGTGCACGAATATACATTTACATACTCGTCTAAAGCTTTTGTTGAAATTTGTACCTATACACATACGCCTCATTTTATCTTGTTTGAAAGACTTGGTGGTTGTTATAACAGACACCGCAGAATTCCATAAACCGTTTGCTTGCTTAGGCAATCGTTCATTTGAATTAAGAGCGTTGAACAGGATGGTTCTTCCAAACGAAGAAAATTCAAATATTTTAAGGTAATCAATAGAAATACAACAATTATCATTTCAAATGGACTTGCGTCCCGCTTAGTTTAATAATAAAGGTGTCAAAGTAAATTTTTCTATTATTCTGCGCATTTGAGGTGAACTCGCTCATTAATGGCTGCTCACCGTGATCTCGCAGATAGATAAAATAATTGAGTCGCTAACCGTATTAATCGCAGCTAAAAATAATTGTGTGATATTAATCCCGAAAGACTCAAACAATAAATCTCTAATGAACCCTCTCAATACAACTATTAGTTTTCAACTATTAAAAAATAGTTAGTTGCTTTGGAAGGAAATTTTCCTCTAAAATGTAGAATTTTTATGCTAATAGTGATGGCACATAAAAATAAAAGTTAAATACAAACTTTCGACAAACATGTGGTTTAACTCTCCTCGCGAGATAAAGTCGATTTTTGTTAATGTATAGATTTAGATTCCCATCATTTGACATTTAATTTTTTCTTAATAATACTAACGACATGGATATCATATAAAGGACTCGGAGAGTAAAATGCGACAAGCTAAGTGTGTTCATCCTAAACCAATTGTGGTAGCCGTCACGTTGAGTGGGAGTGTAGACTATGATGAAGATTTTAATAGTGATGGTTATGCGAAATTCTTTATATGTTCTTATATTATTAAAAATCTTTTGCTCTGACATCAAATAAGATATTTATACTTACTGGCCATTCGTAGTGTTATCTAAAATTTTAACAGTAAATGGGCTACAAAGCTGTGGTTTCATAACATATACATGCGCCATGTATGCCTGAGTTAAAGCATACGTAATTAATCGATAGGAAAAATTTAGGAAAAATTTGAAGCATTTATTTGTGAGGATATAACTTGGTGTCAAGATTTATAAACAACGTCGATGAGATGTTTACAGCACTTCAAAACAAGTTGCCGAACCTTCATTTAATATAGCATTAAAACGCTACAAACTAAGTGTTACTTTAGAAAAGAAATACATGAATGGAAAATATTTTGATTTTCTCAATTCTTGATCGATGTTTGGATTAGCCACGTTCTTCGTTTATCTGTTTAAACCCAAGTAGGAATCCACAATTTTTCTCAGAAGTATTTTAAACTAAATCTTTTTTGCCACTCTCCTGAAGCTGCGAAACAAATACTCGATAAATTAACGACGTTTCTACAACAGTGGTTCGATAGTGTAATCTGATAGTGCTTTCAACTGGTTAGCTTCGTCCATTAATTCATTTTTCTTGATTAATATTCGGCAGAATTTATGAAATCCGCTATGCTAAAAATATTCGCACTTTATGTTATGGAAAATATTAAAAACTAAAGCCGGCGTAAACTTAGGAACAAAATAAATCGCTTTGAACATAGCTGAAAGATTAATGATAGTAATGCGTTGTTGTTGTTAAAACTTCAACATGGCAAAATCGAAAAAACCTGTGAAATAGAGAATGAGCACTCAAATAACAAGCAGAAGAAATCTGCACGACTTAACTAAACGTAAGAAAAAGTCACGAATTTTTTTTTACTTTTACGAACATTTACCATTTTTCATGATGATTTTTCACATTTCATCCACTTCATTTACATGTGTAGCGCTTTGCACATTTTTTGCATTATGAGTATATTTTAATCAGCTGACTTTTTCAGTGTTGCCAACATTATAATCGTTCATTTAAAAATTTCCCATTGCGTGTGAAGTGAAAAATATAATAAAACAATAATTACAATAACAGATCGCTCTGTGGGTTTAACGTCTGCACCTGGCTTGATGCCTTAATCAGACGGGTTGCCTACAACCGTAGGCACTCAATTAAGCTGAGTGATCACCCCCCGGGGGGAGAGACAATCTCCTAATGAAGAGGCCTCTCTTACCCCGGGGTGCGCAGATGGTTCATTATATATGGCCATATGAATCGCCTCTCTGGTATGCAGTACAAACAATTGGAATGCGATATGCGGCTGAGCGACTCAAAATTGCAAATGCCTGAGGTAGTTAAACATCTCAAATAACACAAAAGGTCGTCGTAAATTCCGAAAGGAACATTGTATGAATCTGGATACGATTTGTTTTCGCAACTACATGGAGAGCTTGGGACTGAAAGGCAGAGAGCTACACTAAATTATTCGTTAGTTCGTATTGTTCAAACAATAAAAAAATAAGAAACCAAAAATTGAGAAATCGTTGGTCTCGGTTGAAAAGGAAAATTTATAATTTTGCTGAAAATTTGTGTCTTGTTCGTGTTAGGCATTTTATGGGCTAACCAGCAACCTTTGTGTATTTCTATATATCTTGGATGTAAAAATTGCAATATTATTAAATAGCTTGAAAGCTCAATCTGGCTATGAGATAATGGACGAACTTCAGCTCAGAGATGTTACATCAGCACGTATGCACGTTTATAATTTGTGGTGTATTCTTCTTCTTCTTTTACTTTCGATTTTGTGAAAATTGTCTATAAACAATAACCATAGTTTCTGTAAGCAAAAGTTAAGTTTCTACAGATTTTCTTTCTTATTTGATATTTTTTACAATCACACAAGCCTCGATATAATAAAGAATTGATAAATGCACGAACACTTAAGAGAATGTCTTTAGATTACGGGAATTTGTGCTCTGTGATACTAAAGCAATATTTCGGTGAAGTGGTCCAAATCGTAGGTGATTGTTTGTTTGTCGCAAATTGGCGCACTTTGTATAATCTAGTGAAAACAACTAACTTGACCAAAAGAGAGGTAAAGTCGATTGTCAATATGAGCAAATGCTTACAAAGAGTCCACTTCTAAACAAATCAAATAATCTACAGGTTTGTAAAGCTTTGGCCGTGCTATGTAAATATCATTTAGTATCATTCCGGGCTAGCAATTTTAATCCCAGTGTGGCAGAATATTTATTGAATCGTGATGAAGTTTTGTACGTTGTTCGCTATGCCAGGTAAGAAGCATAAAATTACGGTATTATCCAAGTCACTTTCTTTCCTTTTGAAAAAAGCAAATTAATCTCGGAACCAATGAAAAGTTTGCCGTTCACAGACGTGAGGAGAGGAAAGGAATTATTAATATTAATGAGTAATGACAAACACACTATAGTTCACGATAGTCCTGTACAATTTCATTACCTTTCATAGTCACTGTACAAAGACAAGGAATAGAAGACTTCATATTGAATGCTCTACTCAATCTTGAAGAAAACAAAATTCGATCTTATAATTGCGAGCAAAATCTTTTCATAAAATATGTATTTTGTGCTCGTTCTTAATCGGTAGATTCATGAAAGATACGATTCAACGAAGTTTATCGTAAAGGACTTATAAAACAAATATTTAAACAAATTTATGAAACCAATCATTTAATTTAGTCTGCCAAAATTGAGCTAACAAATTTAACATCTAGTAATATTTGCTTTGTTTTAATCTAAAGACGAACCTCTTTATAATATCAATTTGTATTTAGATATGTTCATCGTATGCAAATGGAGTATGGTAATATAGGCAGCTTTATATGTGAAGAAATATTACATAATGGTTCGCAAACAGGCACAAACTTAATGTTAAAATATTTGGCTGATGCTAATGAAAAAGAAAAAATTGAAACCGTACGTGATATATTTGTGCGTATGATACGTGCTAACTATTTAATAAGACTTCCCAAGTTGGTGCAAGGAGAAAGATCTGAAACAGTAGCGGTGCCTAAATTACATATAGACGTAGATGATTTATTTAATCCGCCTAATATAGATTTATCGTTGTTGGCCAAAATACGTACTGGTACTATTCTTTTATGTCATGCCGGTGACTCAGGTTAATATTCGAATACAATTTGAAATCGTTTACATTATGTTAGCTATTTCCAGATACGCTTTGGCAAATAAATTTCAGTCGTTTCCATCAAGATTTTCGCGATAGCATTATGATTGGTGCAATCGAACGTAAAATGGGGTCAAGTGCGGCGGAATGCTTTCAATACATTTTAAAGCAAATGTACGAGAGGACGGATCCTTGGCAAAGAGTGAGTATTTTTATATTATCAGTTATTATCATAATGAGCTTATGATTTTTAGAGGATAATTTACAGCAAATTTCAAATCCTTTTACCGTGGCTGAAATTAAACAAATGCTGCTAAAGAACTCCAAAAATTTTGACTTAATGACAAATTTAGAGCAATATATAACACTAATTGGTAATATTTTGCATTTGCATTTGTAAATGTACATGTACAATAGTAATACTTTTATATTATTTAGCCGATGATTCTTTAGGTTTTATTCGAAAAATTGGTGAAATGGGTAGCGGGCAGTATGTTGTGGATTTGTCTCAAGCTTTCGAAGAATTGACTTTGTGCTGCATTGAAAATATCATTACTGAACGTTTTGGTTCAAAGGCATCACGGATATTTCGTGTAGTACGCATGAAAAAATATATCGAACAAGAGGATTTACAAAAGGAGGCTATGATACCGGCTAAAGAAGCTAAGCTTTTGTCTTATAATCTATTTCAAGAACAATTTCTACAAATAAAATCTATACGCAAGCCGGGCGGTGGCGGCGCCGCTGCCAAGGCTTTCTTCTTATTTCATTTGAAACATCTTCAGGTAAGAATTTCTTCTATTTTTTTTTTCACCTCAAAGAAAACTTCCCAACAATAATTGAAAATTTTTAGATAGTAACCATGTTGTTGGACATTTGTTATAAAGCATTATATAATGACATAACTCGATCGAATTATGAAAAAGTTGAACATAAAAGATTAATAGACAAAAGTCAAAAGCTGGACAGTATAGTGGCTACGATGAAAGAACGCGGAGAATCAGAAGACTATATAGCAGAGGTAGAATAAAAAAAAGCATTTATTAAATAAATTTGTTTATGACCCGCTCTCTCTTCCACTTTCTCTATCTATCTCTCTCTCTTACTCCTATAGATCTTGGAAACATTGACGCCGCCTGAACGCGAAATTTTAGAAAAAGTCAAAAATCGCATCAAAATTTTATCTAAAGCTGAACTTACTATAGATGACAATATATTCTTACTTCAAATGTATAAACATCATTGCTCTCACTTGCCTACTGCCACAAGCGTAGCAAAGTAGCAAAGTAAGAGCAATTTTTTGCAACGGTTCGAATAAATTCAATGAAGTAGACAAAGTCAATAAGTCGGCACTAAATCTTTCTTTTGATAATAAATACATTTTAATAGTGAAGAAAATCTATTAATTTCGAGGTGCGATAAACGAATAAACAAACTGATGATGCACTTTAGTACTTTTTACTCTTTTTCGATATTATAAATAATTCAAAAGCTGAATATACTTTTACATAATACAACTTATCCAAAGCATAACGCCTTTGTCCATAGAATACTTTCGAAAAGAAAGTGAAGTAATATGGGAAGGGTGTTTTTGTAAAAAAGAAGACATCTCCGACCTTGTGCCCGAAGCGGCTAATCAATTTTCCAAAATTTGAACACTTGTAGTTTGTGTCTTCAGAAAGAACGTGCATATTTTGTAGAACTTCCGAGGTGCTTCTTTTCTGTTGTCTATCAGAGAAAAAAAAATTTTCGCAGTCATTTATTTTAATCCCGAATTGCTTTCTAAATAATGAAATAACAGGGATAGAAGAATAACAGAATTTAATGAAGAACGAAATAACAGAGCATTTGAATAATATAATAATAATGTCTAATAATAAAATAGTACAATAATTGATTTATAGAAAGATCTTCGCTGTGCTCATAATCCGTCTAATTCTAAGGAAAAAATTTAATTAAATAAATAATCAGATAATTAATTAAATATCAAGCGCTGGATCGAACGCGTCAGCTTGCTCCTGATTTCCAAGGTAGCGGACGTATCCATGATGTCTTTGTATCTTATCAGCTAGATGTTGTAGAAAAACTACAAACTCCAAAATTTGACAGTTTTTCACCATTTTTCTTATTTATTGAAAGCAACTCTGTGCCCTCTCCATTCTGTACACTAGATACGTTTTATTATAAACTGAGTAAAAGAAAATCGGCTAACGGCTTTCTGTGAAATCAAAGAAATTTGATAAGCGCAAAAAGAACTTGTCCGAATAAAATATATCACAAAAAATTAGAAAAAAAATTGCGAAGGAAAAATTAAAAGCGGTTTTGTTGAATATATATGTAATTTAGTACTAAAATTTTTAAATAAAACAAAATGTATTAATAATATAGATAGAATATAAAATATTTTCAAGGAAAATAAGTTCATTGATTGGTGAGTGCATTCATTTATTATTTACAAGTTCATTTTTTGGGAAGGAGACCCATCTGAGAATTGTATAGTTTTTCTGGAAATCACGATGGTGTCTCTAGTTGGTAGTAATTATTAGCATTAACATACAACCACAACGGTTTTACTGGTACCGACCCATTCTGAGGAGTCTTCTCTAATGGCGTGTTTGGCTTTTCAGCTATCGAGGCACTTATAATAAGAACCTGGTGATGGAAATTTTGGTAAAAAATTCAAGTGCAATAAATTGAAACGAATGTTGCAACATAAGCTTAAAAACAACGAATAAAAATGATCCGCACCTGTTACAAGGTATGTATCGTGTTTTGTGGAATTTTGGCAACTACTCTTAATTTCTATTGTGCATTTATTATTAATTATTGTGTTCCTTATATTACGTTCAGACAATTACAATTTTCATATATTTCAGCCAGCTTTTGTTTTAAGCACCAATAAACTATTGCTTAAAAAAAAAGACTAATTTATAATCAGACAATTTTTACAAAAAAAAAAATTGTGTTCAAAACACTATAACATTTTAAAATTTTTTTACATTTTGTAACTTTTTTAAAATTTCATAAAGTAATAATAAGAGTTGTTTAATTACAAAAAATGTTGTGCACGTCTTTTAAACGAACTTTTCTAATAATTTATATAAATGCTTTTATTTCACATAAACCATCGGTTTTTGTATAATAGCAGAACAATTTTAGAATTTAATCATGAAGTTGTTTAGAACTTAAACAATAACAATAAACCATTGGTTAACTCTTTGCTTATACAATGGCAGGCGAAAATTAGATGAATTGAACCGATTTCACTACTTTAAATGTTTTCTTTTATTCTACATGGCATCTCCATTGTAGTGTTCGTACATGTAATCCCAAAATTGCTGCCGTTCAAATTCAGGATTTTTTCTTACATCCAATGTAGCACTTATATCCATAAAACTTAAATTATCCATCACACTATCCGGACTTATGGGCAACCATATTGTATTTATTAGATTATCTACTCGATGGGCTGGTGTCGGGTTTCTACAGAGTATATATTTACTCTAATCACGAATATATTGCGTTTTTAGGAAATTCTTAAAGGCTTACCCGTATTTAGCGAAATTTGTCCACATGCGTACCATGCGATTTTTGACTAGTATTTCCAATGAATTCGGATCCAAATTTAAATTGAAGAAACCAAACTTGAAGAGATAGCCCATCTCATCACCATGACAAACGCCGGGTCGTTGTAAGCCAAGCATGCGTTTGTAAAGACCTAATGCACCATCAAAGGCAAACCGATACATATAAACGGGAGCATTACCGTAACGCGCATGATAGCGGACGCTGCGACGTATGCCCCGTAAAAACATAACGTCCGTAAGCAACTACAATTGCAAGGGAATATTGTTATGAAGGTTTCTTTCAAATTTGCATTATTTAAATAATTAAGCTTACCGCGATCATTTCATTTACTGAATCCACGCTTACAGTTTTGGTTCCTAAATAGAATTGTCGAATTTCCCGTGTAACTCGGTTTCTGTCCCCAGTAACGTTCAGATCTTTGGGTATCATACGTGCAAAATCGTTTTCAATAATTTCTAATAATTTGGGATTTTTACGCAAACCTAACAATTAACGTGAATTAAAATGAGTGAAAACATTTCCGATAGTTTTTCTTACTCACGTCTTATAAATAACATGGCCTCATGCGTGTTGTAGCCTGTCAAGTAAGGTATGTTTTTTTGGAATTTTTGGTTTCTATATAATTCTATAGGGTTTTCCGTTATAAGAGGAGACTCTGTGTAAATGGTTCTATTAGCGTCATTCCAATAGCCTTCCACTACCGGTACAAATGGCAGACCGATATTATTGCGATAATCTTCTTCAGTTAAAGTGTTGGGTGCACCTTCTATCAGTTTCATGGCAGGTAATTTTTTCAGATATCTTAATATATCATCAGTGTTATTAGTTCCAATATACCCCAAATTTGCTGCCAAACGCGAAGCCCTTAATGCTGAACTTTCACCTAAGGCCCAAGGATTTAAAGCAGAACCGCTTTCTGAAATGGCACGATGGAATAGACCTTTCGACAAGGGTGATAGCATTAAGAGCTGTACTGACGAGGCTCCTGCTGATTCGCCAAAGACCGTTACTTGATTCGGATCACCACCAAAAGCAGCAATATTATCACGTACCCATTTTAGGGCCAACAATTGATCTTTGAGACCCTGATTACCAGGAGCATTTGGACCGGCCGTTAAAAAGCCTAACGGTCCTAGTCTATAGTTTAGAGTCACTAAAACCACATTTTCCGCAACAAGATAATCGGGTCCATATAAGAAAGTGTTCCCAGAGCCAAATGAATAGCCGCCACCGTGCAGCCATACCATCACGGGCATTTGTGGATTACTAGAGACCATCAAATTTCGAAAACTCTTTTCTTCAAATTAAATAGCAATACTTACTAATCGCCTTTAGGCACTTTACTAGTGAACACATTCAAAAATAAACAGTCCTCATTACCCTTAAAAGTATCCAAAATCATATTTTTATGAGGACAACTATGGCCTTCCCTAGAGGCATCTCGAATTCCCAGCCAAGATCTTTCAGGTTCGGCAGCACGGAATCTGGTTTGAAATGTTGATTAATTAGTTAATGAAATCCAGAATACTATAAAGTTTTTACCTTCGATCTCCTATGGGAGCGGCTCCATATCTAATACCTTTAAAGCTATAATAGCCGCCTCTTTCACCTGACCGATATTTTTGATAACGTCCACGTATTCTGCCCGCTATTGTCCTCACAATGACGTTGGCGTCTTTCTGGTTCGAAAAGCGAAGAAAGTAAGCATCGAGTGAGAGCCACAGTAACATTTAAATTTTTGCTTAGAATTGAAACATAAGCCAAAAACGACAGAGAGAATCCCAAACTACTGTAGAGATAGGTATGGGCTAAACTTGCCACTATCTCGGAGCTTGTGCGTATCCGCAAAATGCTGGGCAGAATTGTGAATAAATTTGAAAACTTGTCCTGTAAGCATTAATTAAATAGTGGATTGGTGCATAATTATCAGACGTTCTTTGGACGTGCCATGAATGTTTTAATGGATATTTACATTATTTTATAAATTATGAAATTTATTTACTTCCTTCTGCTTGTCTGTCAAAAATCACACTAATATTTGTCAAATTATGTTATACCATTTTGAAAAAGAACGGAAAGCGGCGAAGTCTCTTCGCGATCTCAACGAATCTGGATACGCCAGGAAGAGGTCGCCCATCGCATTTCGACGATCAGGCACTTTTGGTAGCCACGGAAGCGGACGAAAGCTTGACAAGTCGAATGCCGGGCGACAACTTCAATGTGGACCATTCAACCACCGTTCAAAAGGCTTCAAAAGTTATTGAACTAGACGGTGACTACGTTCCAGATTAATCGTTTAAAAACGTTACTGTTGAATTTTTATGTTTCCTCTTTCTTAATGATAATTATGCAGGAACCTGTTGTATATATAATAAGAGTTAAATTTCCATTTGAACTTTCGCGAGTGTAAAGCTTCCAATAATGGATGGCGAATAGGGATTGGTATTGTTATCGTTGTATACACTGCAGCAAATGTCTGATTTGTGTTCGCGGTTGTTACAAAGGGAAAGAAGAATGTGGTATATCCTCAGAAAAAGACAGCCCAAATTTGTGTCGCAGAAGATGAATGAAATTGGATATGAAATTAAAAAAGCAAATAATGTACCAGCACTGTCGAGGGAATTGTGACAGTAAAGGTTATTGCAGAGAAGTAAGCAAAGCTTTGAAGACAGGATAATACAATTGAATGGTGGATGGAAACCTCACAATGTTAAAATGCTTGCTTATACGAAGAAGAACGAGGAACTAAAGTAAGTAACACAATCGCAGTTTCAAAGTGGAACAAATGTCTGACATCGCCATTGACATCAAATGTATAGGACGGAAGGCAAGATAAGGCAAGTGCCAGCTCCTAACTTGGCGTTCTTTATTATTAATAAGAAATCATTTCGGTTCTTATAAAGTAATTTCATTATTGTGTAAGGACCAAAGTCACGCAGCTTGTTTTGGTTCTACACGCATTTATAAATTATTCTTATGTATTTAAAATACGATAAGTATATTTATTTTGCGCTCATTTTCTTTTGTAGGAGGCAGTTTGTTATGCCCTTGTGAGTATTATAGGGATGCTATAATAAGTATGCACTGTATAAGTAAGAACGAATTGTAATGGGAATATTACATTCGAAATAACTTAGTTGACATATTTCGAGTGTGATCTAAACGATTGGCAACGCCAATCTTCCGACTTCCGACTTCCTTCTGGACCGAAACGTCGTGGATAAGGTAAGCTCTGTAGACATTCGTCACATCCGCACGTCGTAGGTGCCAAATCCGACTTAGTAGAAGTAGGGAATCGTCCGTGTAGTCCGAGGATAGGCGACATTAAGATAGAATAGGTGTTTTAAGCCTAAGACTATATAAGTAGTTTTAAGTTTGGTCGTACGCTAATAAAGGAGTTGTATTAGAATGCGATTGAATGTTGTAATTTCTTCTTGTTGAGGTAAGAATGCCTGGAATAGCCGCTGAGGCTACCCCAGCAGCATTATCCGGTTAGGAATTTCACTCTAAATAGACAAGGGAAAAATATCGAATTTCATAATTAATCAAGATGTTATCGTAAAATCGATCATCTTTTTCATCCTTGCTTTCGAATTTTTGAAGATCGATCAAATTGTTAAGATATCTCAATTTCCAAATAACTTAAGAATCAGCAAGTATGCAACATGAATAAAGGGGAGGAGATGTAGAGATGGTTGGTTGGTTATCATCGAAAAGCGACGTGACATTTTGAGGAACCTAATACAACAACAAGTGAATTTTACAAGTATTATTATGCATTAAGCAAACAAGTTTTGATGAACATTGAATTTGAATTTGAATTTGAGTGGAACTATCGTGTAGCAGAGTCTGCAAAAACTAAGAATGTATAGTTTTTATGAGAATATAATTTTTTATTACAACTATTGAAAATTGAACAAGAAATTAAATGCGATATCTGTACTCAACGCTTATATTAAGCTAAAGGTAATCTCGTTCATTGTCTATTAACCGTAGCAGAAATTTGTTTTATACTCAATTTCCACTCGTATGCGTGCCTGCTTATGTGACATTCTTTTCGTGTAAACAAACAAACATGTGCAATGAACATGGCCACGATAGAAACTAACCATTCTGCCATGAAACGGCTGATCTTGCCATTCACGCAAACAACTTGTGGATGTGATTGCGTAACGCTTGTTAGTGTAGTAGAGTTAAATACAAGCGTGTCTTGAATATTTTCACTAATAGCTTAATTGCATTGCAGCGGGTTTATTGAACTACAGTTTGCACCACACACTAAACATAGCTAGGAAAACGCATGGCTTTGCTTAAACTATTATGGAAAAAACTTTATGTTTGGCGCAAAATTTTTCTTACACTCGTGTTTAATTTGCACAAATGGCATATTTAGCCACTTATCGACTGATTTTCTGAATTTCTAATCTGAATTTCGAAATTTTCTTTCTAATAATTTTGATAAGGTTAGGTCTGGCTTGCCATCAATGATGTCGTGAACGCAGATTATATAAATTATAGTTTACTTACGCGAAAAGATCTGACGACTTCTTGAACTACCCGCATTGCCCGTGACGGCAGCAACTGCACCAAAGAATTTGGATGTGATGTCAATGTTTTCCATGCAGTTGTCTCCTGTAATTGATTAGAAAGAGAAAGCAACATACATTTTAACCAAACTAAATGAAGACTATAGTGTGTCACGGCTCTAATCATTAAATTTCCTACACCGTCCTAAAGTTGTTGAAATGGCGACTTTCCAAAATAAGTTATCATAAGGAAAATCGGCGAAAAGGTGACTCGATCCAAACCATTTTCAATGTCGTTCATCGTTGATCCAAAACAAGTCTTTCTTCCAAATTTCATGAAAATATCTCAAAAATTGTGAACTGTAGGTTGAACGCAAGAAAAGAAGACGGACAAACGGATTATAAATCGATTGGTATTGTAAAAGATGGGTCTATCCCGAGGTTTTCTATATTGAACTGGGCACTAATTAATACGACAAAGCCGACATTCATGTGGAATTGAAATTTCGACTAGAATGGTGTTGATGAGAGAGAGAGAGGGAGGGAAACAGAGAGAGAGAGAGAGAGAGAGAGAGATAGATAGATAGATAGAGAGAGAGAGAAAGAGAGACAGAGACAGAGAGAGAGAGTTGTTAAATGTTAAAATATATATATGTAAAATGAAGGCATGGAAAACGAAACAAAACCAATTTCAAGCGCTTACGAAAAAAACAGCCAAAAAAGAAGTGAATATGAATACATAAATTTTGAATATTGTTGCAGCCACATAAAAATAACAAATTTTATTAACTTGTGAAGAAAAATGAAATTTTACAAACAAATTAAAAGAATTTTACAAACGAATTAAAAAAAATGTTTGGAAAAAACAATTTTAATGTCCCAAGTTCTAATACAAATATTAAATGCATAAAAAATAAAGACACCGACTGCGACCGAATCTTTTATGTCCATATCATCGTTATCTTAAAAAAGAAGCTGAAGATAAATTTTTATCCTCTATAACATTACATGGCCGTGAATGTTTTGATGATCTTTGAGGGGGGCAATCTTTGCTATCCTGTTAAATATTTAAATATTAGAGAGTTGAACTCGATTGACTGAAACGCGATTCAGGTCATCCCATTGAGGTTACGACAGTACAAACAATTGGACTACGATATGCGGCTGAGCGACCCAAAATTGCAAATGCCTGAGGTAGTTAAACATCTCAAATAACACAAAAGGTCGTCGTAAATTGTATGAATCTGGATACGATTTGTTTTCGCAACTACATGGAGAGCTCGGGACTGAAAGGCAGAGAGCTACTCTAAATTATTCGTTAGTTCGTATTGTTCAAACAATAAAAAAATAAGAAACCAAAAATTGAGAAATCGTTGGTGTCGGTTGAAAAGGAAAATTTATAATTTTGCTGAAAATTTGTGTCTTGTTCGTGTTAGGCATTTTATGGGCTAACCGACAACCCTTGTATATTTCTATATATCTTGGATGTAAAAATTGCAATATTATTAAATAGCTTGAAAGCTCAATCTACCTACGGGCTAATGGACGAATTTCAGCTCACGTGGACAAAGATTCAAAGTTGAGATTGTGATTTCTGCAGAGGTACAAGTCCCGGAGAGAGACGCACAGATCGATAATGGTCAACGGATTTTGCAGAATACATTTATACTTATAGCTTACTCGAGGCCACCGGTTTTTTGTCTCACAAATACTCCATAAATCACTAGTGCATCACCTTTAAGACGGCCCAAAAGAGAAGGTCTGCTTTTTGTTGTAGCAGTGCATGGCTCTGCTGACCACCTTGACCATTTTGCTAAAGTTTCTTGCCATTTTTCTCGTCTGTACACGAATGTTCGTAATGTGCGGCAATTAGTAACAAACCAATGCACACACACACATATTAGGATTATATAAAATGCAAATACGCAATTTTACTTTCGTTGAAAAATTTCTCATTTTAAGAGAAATTATCAACAACAACTCGAAATAATTGCAATAAACCTATGAGTAACAATAATAACAACAATAACAATAGTTAATCAACTTATATGACAATATTTTGCATATTTGTTTTTATTTTACCTCAACAGCAACAGGATTAGAAGAAGCGGAAGTACTAGCGGTGGTGGTGGTGGAGGTGGTACTAGCAGCAGTAGTAGTATTAGCGATTATGAAAACGTTGTCAACGTCATCGCTATCGTTGTTTACACTATCAATTTCACGCTTGTTCGTCATCGTTGTGATATAATTTGATGGTATTGAGACGGGCTCTGCTTGAATCTCATCAGTTGCTTCAGTTGTTGTCGTTGTAGTTGTTGCTGATGATGTTAATGGCGCTATTGTTGTACCGATTGCCGCGATCGTTACGGGCACTGACGATTTCATGGCGATTGTTGTGGCAATTAACAATTGAGTTTCGGAACAGTTACTGCATTGTATCATATTTTCGGTTACATTTTTTTTACTTTGCTGGTTATGATGCCGATCGATATTAGTGACCGATATTGCAAAAACAATTAGAGCGAGCGCAACTGCAATGGCAACGATTGCTGTTGCATATTCCAATGTTCGTCGCCAGGTCATTACTGGTTACTTTATTGTAAAGATTATTTATTACACAGTACGCGGTACGCTGCCCGCTTCCTATTCTCTATTTACAATTTATATAACAATGCAATCATTCGTTTGCTCTTTTTCTTCTATCTCTCTCGGTCTCTCTTCACTTAATGATTAATTTGTGCAGACAAAGAGCTCGATTTGGAGTTTTGCTCACTTTTCTTTAGTAAATTTTGTAAAACTTTTCTTCTTTTTCGTTTTTATTAATTTTTCCAATTTTCTCTTACATGATTTAATTTTATTATGCGCTTAGTTTTCAATTTTCCTCCGAACGCCACCACCTTTAGCGTACAACTAACTAACTCTTGGTTTTCGAATGCCTGGACTTTGAAAATATTATTTTATTGGAGCTTAATATTTATTTTCATTTTTTTTTTTTTGGCTGTGGTGCTGCTTTTTTGAGTTATTTCTCTAGGCAAACAACCACAACAAAAGTAACAACTTTTCTTATAATAATAATAATATAAGTATTTTTCTTGTTTTTAAGTTATTAAATTACTTTAGTTACTTATGAAGTTATTGCTTATACTAGCTTTTTTTGGGTAACTTTGCTTTATTTTATATAAGGAATGCTTTGCTATTGAAATGCGAATCATTTAAAAATAATTCGTGCATTGCTGCTATTGATGCTGCATGACATCGTAACCGATAAGCGAATGTAATGAAATTCATAGCGGATATATTAGAAATTCATACATGTTTTTTTTATATAAAAGTGCAAGCAAAAAGAAATAATAATTTTGCAAAAAAATATTTACCGTTTAATAAACTTTTTACGCTATCGAAACATATCGTTATAATAATTTCTATTCCCGTTTGTAACATGACAAAACATACTTCTGAAACCTTATTAAACCAAGATATTTTTGTTCCTATGTTCAATCATCCGGACCTATTATTAGGAACTCCAAGGCCTTAAAAAATTGCATCATAAATGGAGATATTCTTGGTACTAATCGGGGTAGTGTTTTACATCTATTCATCCGAACCCAATATTAGGACTTCCAAGTGCTTAAAAAATTGCATCATAAATGGAGATATTCTTGTTCCTAATTGGGGTAGTCTTTTACGTCTAATCATCCGAACCCACTATTAGAATATCTTGGCCTTAAAAAATCGCATCATAACTGGAGATATCCTTGTTTCATTTGAACCTATTATCATGATTTGCAAGATCGTAAAAAATGACATAAGCACCCATAATTCAGCTTAACAGATATAAAATAGAAATACTTGGAGTGCATCGTGTATAAAAACATGTGAAATTGCTAAAGAGATTTGAAGAAAAACAAAACTGAAAATTGTTGAATATCGGTATAAAGAAGTTGAAAACTATCTGACGTAATTAATAGTTCATGTAAAATTAGCTTTGACGGGTTAAATGGGGACGGTGTGTGTGTATGCTTCAATAACTTGCTACTAGGTGATATCCATGTTACTTTCCTTGGAAGCACCTCACATTTTGTTGTTTCCTAAGCAGTTCTAAGCCATTTATGTTTTTCTTGCTTTCTTGCTCGAAGAAATGAAGTGATATTGTAAATTTGCTCAATAGCGTAAAGTGAGTGAGAAGCTCCTCTTAGTTACAAATGATTAAATGTGGAAAATGAGGAGAGCTTTCATTAAGACTTTGCCGACCGTCAGAATGACAAATTCAACAATCTCATCCTTATATTTATATAATCAGTTATATTTATATAATAAGTCGTCTTTGTATTTGTGTAAAAAATGGCTTTTACTCTCTCTTATACATAAACAAAGGTTATGTAAAATAAGACAATTATTGTTATTGCTATTATGGGAATTATGCATTGTTTGTGTAGCTTGGCGCTGGGGAGATAAACTATGCTTTAATGGGGAGCACAGATGGCCGAAACCCTCACCTCCAAGTGGTGATCCCCGGGCAACGGCTTCGGCCGGCTAAGAAGGATTTAAGGTTTTGGGCTACTAACTCGGCGACGAGTTTCTGAGAGATGGTGGAGGGGTTGGCTGGAAGATGAACTCTTCATTCTTTAGCTAGTTACGACCTAGGAATTTTCTGAACCGTTTTTAAGTACGTAGAAGGTAGTAATCTGGCGAGTGCATGGTAGATCGCCCCTGCCAAGTCAGTGCAATACCCGAGACTTATATATCTCGAAGAAAAGTAGTTCCGGGGGGTGGCTAACCCGGATGTATGGAGAATCATGTATGGAGGGAGTTGATCAATTTGTGAGCCCTGACTGCTTGGGTGCGGCCCTTCGGGGAGTACTCGTGGTGGTTGTGGTGGGCAGTTCCAAGCCAAAGTGGAACAATCGAGTGCACCTAGGCCTCACCACTGACCAGAGTGGGGTTTATTGATCCATACGCAATAAACCGTTCTAGACTCTGGTACTGTTTAGGCCCCTCCTCTGTGGAGATTGTCTAACTCGCCAGGGGACGTACATTACTCTAAAAAGTGGCTTGGGCCACCGTGGGGTTAAGCCTTTCAGGCAGGAACCCACGTTAAACCCTTGCCACAAACTGTAGCTTGGCGCTATAGGCAACTTCCCATGATTGTTTGTGAAGAAATTCTGTTTTCCTTTAACACTGAAAAATACGTATCCGCATACATTTTAAATTTAAGTTTTATTGCTTTTCTTTCATTTGCTATAATTAGTTGTAAGTTTTGTAAAGACCAAAGCCACCCCGCTCGTTTTGAGCCTAAACCCATATGTTAATATTGCTAGGTATAAGTCTGTGTACACGTAAGTTAGATTGATAAGATCGTATTTATAAGAGTAGATGTTTATGGGGGTTTATTGGCACACGTAATACTTAGACGGATCATTAGTCTAGTACTCGCCTATACTAAGTTAAAGCCTGTATAAGTAGTTTTAAGTTTGTTCGTATGCTAATAAAGTATGCTAATAAAGTAGTTGCATTCGAATATGACTGAGTGTTGAAATTTCTTCTTATTGGGGTAAGGATGTTTGGAATAACTGCTGAGGCTACGCCAGCATCATAACCCGGTTAGAAATTTCTCCCTAAATAGACAAAAATAACAAACTTCACAGTTGGGATGTTGTTCCGCATTGCATACATTCTTGTATTCCAAATTATTGTTCACTTTGATGCTATTGCAGATTATGAGTAATTTTTAATTTAGTTGTACTTTATTTCATGTTCGCCCAATGAGTTTAAATCAATAACTAATATTAAGTTTCTTTCTTCTTCTTTATCGTAACAATAGAGTGTTCCTCAATAAACTAAAAACAACTTTAGATCGCTAAGCAGAAATTTCTCGTTATTTGCCAGCGATTATGTTTTACCGGACGGACGCTTTATGTCTTTGCTCTCCAGTTAAAAAAAAGTTATCAAATTTACATAATTTATATGATAAATATAATTAAATATAATTTAATAATTTTATCCCTCTTATCTATGTATTTTTTGTAGTTATTTAAAAAAGAAACATAAATTTTCGTTATATTCTAGCATCTAATGGTATTATATTTAACGAAATGATTTTTTGCTTATCTTCTTCTCTTTTTTCGGTAAAGCATTCGTTATTTGTTTTTTTTTTTTTTTTTGGTAATTTATTGATTATTAGCCTTGACATACTAGTTAGTGACAGAGGATAATTGATGTTTTATTCTATGATTTTGTGCCTTTGCTTACCATTTACAGGTGTGGAGTTATGTGTTGCTTAAATTAGTTGCTTATCTTTTTGTTGTTGTCTGCGTTAAGAAAACTTTAACCAGTTGACTTGAACGTTGATAAAGTTGTTGTTATAAAAAATCTCTTAAGAATTTTTCAAAAACTCTTTTAGAATTATTATCAAATTTGGTGGATTTTAATTAACAACTAATTAAATAAAATTATTCCACGAGATTAACACAAACGTTTAAAGCAACGAAGGAACTAAAGAGCTTTTCATCAAAATATTATATTATGTTATCCCCGCTGGAGATCAGCCGTAGATCGTTACGCGTTTACGCACATTGGGGTTGTTAATCCATGGAAAGTGTAGTAGCACTGCTGTTGGTCAGCCTTTGCTTTTTTGAGTTTTTGTGCATGAATGCTACATCATCGCCCATAGAATATGCTTTCAAACACACTTTGTACATTTTGTTTGCTATAGTTTGTGAGTAATGAGCAGAAAACCAATTCTTCATTCCTTTTGAAAGAGGAAGGTGCTCGCAGTTTACGTAGTGCTGTAGGCGCGTCCTTCGACCGATTTGACCCATTTTCAATACTAACCTCCGTGCAAGAATTTCCAATATTTTTACCAATTTTGAAGTCTATAGCTTCGTTTTTGCTGCCATGAGAATGTGTATAACAGACACTACACAGACGGACAGACGGACATGCTTAAATCGGGATCAAGAATATATACACTTTGTGAGGACTCTGATGTTTCCTGCTGGGCGTTGCAAACGTTTTGGCAAAATGAATTAAGGACGAATAGCAAACTCTGCAGACTTATTATGAATAATGTAAAGTAAACTTACTTACCTTGAGTGTATTTGAGAATTTTCCCGCTCTGGAAATTGCTGTACTGAATGTTGCCGGCGCGATTGCAATTGATTTCGATAATTGCACATAATTTCCGCACAAGAAAACGACAGTGAACAGTATTAAGAGTGGACAGTCAATTTTCTTTGACATGTTAGCTTAAATTTAATTTTTATAAAGTATATTTATACTCTCCAAAATTTACAAAAGTACAAAAGTTTGTTTGCCCCGTCGTCTCGTTTAAAGGACTTTTATTTTTTTTGTTTTGTTTTTTATTATTATTGTTTACTTTAATATTATTTTAAAAGATTTGAAAAATCCATCTTTAGGGTTGCGAAATCATTTCGATGCATGAATAAACGAACAAATGTCAACAAATGAATCTTCGAAGCACATTACATCACGTCACATGTAGACTGGTTATGGTTTTCCTTTAGTTTAAGCAAAAATAAAAGTAAAACCATTATGGTCGAGCAAGGCCGACAGTTAGATATCGCACAGCACTTTGCCTGGTACAGTTATTCACTCGTTTTGGTGATGACACATCAAAACAAATATACACACATTGGAGGAATATCGCACGGAATTGTCCAAATTTAGCAAACTTAATCTACCTCGCAAAAATTTTATTGCTTCTTCGATTGCATCATAAAAAACTAGAACTTAGACTTCCTCTCAATACGAAAGGTTGCTACATTGGTTGGGATCAGAAAATTGCACCTAGGTTACTTTTCATGGTAGCCCCACATTTGTTGAGATATAAAAAATAGACCTAAGCGATCTAAATTCTCTACCGTCATAATTTTTTTGGCTAAATTGCTACTATGGACGAACTTTCATCACAAAATTAAACCTTTTTCTAAAGGGCTTACTATTCAGAAGAAATCCTGTACGGAGTGGAATTCCAAATGATTTAAATTTTGTCAAATTACTGTCACGAACAAATTTTCATCATAAAACGTTGACAATTGCGCCAATTTGGCATTTTGTGAGAATCCTACATACATATGCAACATAAGACGGGTAAGTAGATTTGGAAAATGATTCTGAGTTAACCGGCATAACAAAAGGCGGGTTTATCTTAAACCTTTCTGGATGTGACGTATATGAACACAAGCTTGTATACACCCTGTGCTACATCCTTCTGGGTGTTACATATATCCACACGAACTGTACTGCAAGTGGTATACAATGTGATAATAAATTGTTATGCGAATAACATACATTAGGGGTAGCATAATTTGAAACTCGTTAACTGAAATTACTTATGTATGTAAAATTGAACTATAAAGACTTTGCGCTTAAATTTTGAAGCAATGGTTTACAATAGAAGACTCTTAAGCAAACAAAAAACCCGTTTGGAAATAATTATTCTTATATATATATATATATATATATATATATAAATGCGTATAAATGCGTGCGTGTGTGTGTCTATATACATAAATTTTAATATAAATAAAATATTTAACATTTGTAGTAAGACTTTTCGCAACTTTCTAATCCAACACAATATGAATATCAAGTCTGAAAAATTAGTTTTATTATTATGTCAAAGATGAACGTTCCGTTTGGCTTTAGCTGAATATGCCCGATGACGTTCGTCTCTCTGTCCGTTCGTTGCAAATTTTTTATTAGACTTTCACAGCCATAAATGTGAAATAAGATTAGTTTAGCCGTTTTCACTGTTGTCTAATCACGACCGCCTGTCTTTTCTTATACCGTACACTACTTGCGGCACAAGTAAGTTTTTGCAAACACATAGAACGACTTGAGCTAGATCCACCCTTTTATTATACCGGCCGTATAAGCTTGTCTGTCGGTCTGGTCGTCTTGTTTTTTTGTGTTCTACCAACAGGTCGCAAAATGTTGAGATATTTGGATGAAATTTGTTACTCCGGTTTGTTTTGGCCCAAGGTTACTGCAAATGATTTGGATGGGACCGCTCTTTCCCATATGATGCCGAAGTCTGCAGTGTGATTTAGGGTATTTGATGGTAGGCCGTGGACTAATATGGTGTTTTTTTTTTTTTTTTTTTTTTATTTAACTCTCACATTTGCAAAACTGATATATAAAACGAATTTCGGCGCTCATGTCTTTCGTTTATGGCATAAAGCAAAGAATTTTGAAAATTACTTCATAAAAACGCCGATAATTTGTAAAACTGTTAATCCAAATCTCCATTTTTTACCAGTTCGACATGCGCATAAACATTCGATGTAAAAATTTAAAAGCGCCAAAGAAAGATTAATGCAATTGTCATGTAGTAACGTTTTTTTTTCTGATAACAGTAAACCTGTTGCTAAAAATTTCGATTTTTTTCTTCTTTCTCACCTCTTCTTCTGCTCCTTCTTCTTAAGGTAGCTGAGTTGCTTTACTTATTCAAAAAGTTTTTACAAGTGAACCATCCTATTCCGTTATGAGATAAATTGTCTCCAGATCACTTCTACAAGGGAAAATGTCTTTCACACACACAATAAAGGCAAGTGCAGGATAAAGAAAAAAATTAATGTGTTGTAGCCTAAAAATACCCCACTAAGCCGTTGCTACATTACTCTTAACACGAGAACATTTGATCACTAAGCCATTTTTTACATGTCGCACTTACTTATACTTATACGTATATACACATAGCATACGTATATACATCTAATGAGATATTGAGCGTAATGGTCGGCAGTGCAGCAGCCTGGAACGCCGTAGACGCTTTCGCTAACAATACTCTCGTGGAGTTACGGCGATTGGAGAGACAACGGGTGGAGAGTAGAGGGAGTGGAAGCCGATAGTGTATTCCACTGAGGTCCCACCATCAGAAGCATTCTAGCGACAACCAGCACCCGCGAAGTAATACTTAACGGTGGCCCCGCGGGGAGAGTGGTAGACGAAGTCTATGTGGGGGGTAGTTTTTAGTACGTATGCGTCAGGGATGGCGAATCGTGCATGCTGCTATTAAGATCCAGCAGTATCTTTTGAAGATTTTCTACCTCCAGCTCACAGAGCAAAACAAAAAAAAAACATAGCAGAGAGATATGTATGTATTCGTTTACATGCTAATATATTGTTAAACATTTTTTGCAGACATTTTAGTGGAACTAAGTCCAACCTAATTCGTGAGGCTCAATACTTTTTATACCGCATAAGTGTTTAACTTTCTTTCATCTCATTTTCTCTCTTGTTTGCTAATCGATCTCGGCAGCGTTTTTAATCAATCGTTTATTCATATTTTTATTATTTACATGGGGAGGCATGTTCGTGCCTCTTTTGTACACACAGTTGGTTGCCGTCTTAACTCACTAAACCACATTTTTGTTTACATTATATAATCGCATATATTTATACCTGAGTTCGGTCGTGAGAGTACGTGTATATATGTATATTGTGCTGTGGCATTACGAATTCGAGTACAATAACAATGCCACGGAAAGACTTGCACTTTCAATGAAAGCAGTTATATTTCTTCTTTTTTTTTTCTTGTACATATATACATGTGTATGAATATAAAGCTCAGTTGTCGCTAGTGGTCAGTATGTAATGTTGTTTTTCCATATTATGACGTAGTAATTGGTATTAAATCGACAAATAACTGGTTTTAAATGAAAGCTTAGCGAACCAGACAAATTTACTTATACTTGACAGTTAAAAATTTTCATTATGTGAACCAATCGACATGATTTTATAAAATCTAACTGTTTTCGTTTTTTTACTAGTTAATGTATATTAACAACAAACGTGACATTGATTACATGACGAAAGATTCATTGCCGTAATATAATCATAATTGCTTAATCGATTTCGTAACGATTCTTCGTATCATTCCTAGAATCTATATTCTGTATAATAAATAGTTAATCAAAATAAGTTTTCATTACAAGTTTGTTTCTTAAGTCTTTCGTTTGCATTTTTGCCAACCAAAGCAGGTCAACATTTAACAATAAACATGAAGTTAAATTTAAAGTTTTAAAATAGGTGATGTGCTTGCATGTACAATCTCTGGAAGGCATGGACATTCTACTCTTGCAATTAATTTAAACGAACCCTCCTAGAACATTTTTTTTTTTTAGATTTCTAAGACCAATTTTAAGTATCGAAGTAGTATACAGACATACATCAAGTTGAGTATAAAAAGTTTTGCTTAGTTTTACTATCATTCTTCTTCTTGTAAGAATCCAGTGATATAACAACAGATAATTTATGTGACAGGTAAAAAAGGTTCAAAGTAAACGCGAAATTCTGCTCGAATCTGAATAAAGTTTTCTATGTTTTCGCGTCCGCCGGTAAATTTTTTTTTCTTTCACTAGATTTATACCCATCACCGAAGAAAGAAAAACGAACATTTCCAACACCCAGAAGGAAGCTTCAGAGACCCCTCAAAATAAATATATTCTTGACCAGTATCAAACACTCACTCGTCCCTTCTCTGCTATTAGTATTATCAATATTTCAAAGACTGGGATAGAAAGTTAAAACTTAGCTTTAAGTAATGGCTGCAGAATTATTTTAAAAATGTTGCGACACGAACGGTTTGCTAGCACGCAGCTCCGCAAAGTTAAAGAAGTGGGTTGGTATGTGGATCGTTGTTAAACCAATATAAGTTCTTCTGCCGCAGAAAATGATGGAACATATTTTGATTAATACACATTGTATCAATTTTTTTCAATAAATGCCTTTTTCAAGTGAAAAGCTTTGATTAAAACAAACTAAAAGATCGAAATTAAATTTTATCCCAATGTTATTTATTTATGTGCCTATATATAAAAACTCGGGTTTTAAAAAAGCTATCTCACAAATTGATTGAAAAAGTCAATTTGGCCACTTTTTGCAAGACCAGGGATACACTGTTGCACAGCGACTGTTGGCATAGCGATTTCTGAGTACCACTTATTCAAGTGGATGCAACATGGGTTTGCTATTATAGCAGCTAATAATAACGTTAAGTTTAATAGGAAATAGTAGTAGAAACACTGAAAGGTTTGAAGTCATATGGCCAACTAATTATTTGACTTGTTTTTATTTCTAATCAGAATTTCTTTCATCAAATTACTGGTATGGCAAAAAAGAATGCCGAGTTAATTTTAATTTCTTCCCCATATTTTCTTTTTAATACATACAACATTAAAAAAGGAAAAAAATAAATACATAACATATTAATTAACATTTCTTTTTCAAGTTAGTAGGAGATTAGTAGCTTTGATAAAAGAAATATTTTTTGAGTGAAATTTATTATCTCTGCCAATAATTGTGCAACTTAATCATCATAAGCAACAAATGAATACATCATGGATTAATTGAATAGCTTACATGAGTTAAAAACGCACCTAGTGTACCTAACAAATAAAGAAAGAAGGGAAATCCACACGAAATCGTAATTTCTTTTCCTTTTCCTTTTATTATTTTTTTTTTTTTTGTTACCCATAAAGCCATCCGTGATCGTTTTAAAAGTCTGACATATGACTTGCGAACGATTCGCCTTTAACATGATATAAATATAAATAAATATGTAGATAAAAATATGCGTCATGTCGATTTTTCTAGTCTTACAAACTTTCTATCCATAGGCGTAGAAGGCGATTAGACCACACTTTTGCACACGTACTTCTTACCGCCAGGAATTGATTATTAAGGATATTATTGACTAAGATAATTACATTGGTTGTCCTTCAGTTGAATATTGTACATGTATGCTGTATGATAGTTATATATACTTTGTACCTATCTATCTATCTATTGAGCTGGGCTACGGTTTTATAGTTACAATAATAATAACGAATGAAGTGACCGCATCATCATTAGATTTTGAAATTCTTCGACGCTTTAACTTGCTAAGCTTAAAGAATTTCAATAGTAAATGGACATAGGGTCAGACAGAAGCAAGTCTAATTAAATTGTTATTAGAGTTTTCATTGATCACGTACGGTTTATATTCTAGAAGCTTTTCTATGGAAAATATAATTTACTCG